ATTGTTTGGCTGGCACACAGCAGTGTTTCAGTCTCACAGATTTATCTGTCTCTTCCAGCGGTGGTCTTGATTGATTGGGAGTTTGGCTGGCACAAAGTGTTTCAGTCTCACAGCGTGCCTGTCTCTCATTCTCTCCCCAAACTCAAACAACACACAGCCGGGGGGTATCCAAACAACCCCACCACCACACCACACACCACCACACACCACCACACCACCAAAACCGGACAAACTGGAACCGCGACATTGCCATATATCCTCTAGACTATCCACCCTCGCCGCACGACACGTGTCCATGCACATGTATATACATACATACGTACGATGATGGCCAATTGGCCAGCGGGTGTGCGCTGAAGACATGGCTGTGCTGTAACGGCCCCAAGCAGTAGTCCATGTCCACGGCTTGAAAGAAGTTCGGGACGATCCACGATCCATGATCGGACGACGGCGGGTAAGTGTTCCTCCGCGTTCATCCGCGATCCAGGGCGATCTTTCATTCCACTGCTGTGCACCAACATGGCATCCACCTCACCGCAAGCCCAACCTACGTACCTGGTGTGTGGTCACTTGTCTGACGACATGCCAGTGTGGTGGCGGTCTCAAACAACATGCCCTCAGCGACAGCAACAACAGCAGAGATTGAGGGGTGGACGGAACCACGGATCGGGTGGATCTAACGGGAAAACGATATACATATTCTACTTACAGCCGACCAGCGACCTCGCTGACCACCAGCGGACCATGGCGCAGGCGGACATAGCATACCAAGGCATCTTTCACCCGACGGGACCGTTTGGCCATATTCATGCTCGGGCACACCACAGTCTGGGTGATTGCTGCACGCCATGGTACATTGTATTGTAAGGTCGAACACCGCTGGCATGACCGGCAGTCAACCAACCGCAATCGGTGGTCCCGCAGTCAACAACAATCGGTGTGGTTCCAATCGATGGTCCCGCACAGCACGCTGGCCTGTTTCATCGTGTTGGCGCAGACCACATTGGTGAGTTTTGAGCGACAGGGTATATAGAAACAAGGTGAGCACCGTGGGTAAGAGCAGACCCTGGGATTGTTTGGCTGGCACACAGTGTTTCAGTCTCACAGATTTATCTGTCTCTTCCAGCGGTGGTCTTGATTGATTGGGAGTTTGGCTGGCACAAAGTGTTTCAGTCTCACAGCGTGCCTGTCTCTCATTCTCTCCCCAAACTCAAACAACACACACCCGGGGGGGTATCCAAACAACCCCCCCACCACACCACACACCACCACACACCACCACACCACCAAAACCGCACAAACTGGAACCGCGACATTGCCATATATCCTCTAGACTATCCACCCTCGCCGCACGACACGTGTCCATGCATACATACGATGATGGCCAATTGGCCAGCGGGTGTGCACTGAAGAAATGGCCGTGCTGTAACGGCCCCAAGCAGTAGTCCGTGTCCACAGCTTGAAAGAAGTTCGGGACGATCCACGATCCATGATCGGACGACGGCGGGTAAGTGTTCCTCCGCGTTCATCCGCGATCCAGGGCGATCTTTCATTCCACTGCTGTGCACCAACATGGCATCCACCTCACCGCAAGCCCAACCTACGTACCTGCTGTGTGGTCACTTGTCTGACGNCTTTCATTCCACTGTGCACCAACATGGCATCCACCTCACCGCAAGCCCTATATTTGTTCGATATATATACTCACAGGATGGTGACACCACAGCAGACTTGGTTTTAGACTGGAACCACACGGCTGCGATGTTTTATTTTGCCACGCGATACCGCGCAACGTCTCGCACGTGATTTGCCAAGAAATTCGTCTTCCGTGTACTTGGTGATAGTGGGGAAGAACTCAGTTGTTCCCGGCCGCTGTAGGAACGTTAACAGCCGTGTTTAATGGCGATCCCATGTGAAATCCATCGATCGCTCGCTGGTATCTTTACGTATGGTCATGGTCCTGTTCAAACGTATTACACATACATAATGATATATTTTGAGTATTTCAGGGAGATAGTACTTCTTCGCGTTTTACGTGCGGACGAAGGTTTGGTGGATGAATGGAATAATTTGTCTTAGGATTGCATACATCTTGGTAATGGTAGGATATCTAGCTAGGCGGATTTAGAGACGCACCGAGATATTGTGACGAATTGGCGGTGAAAGGAAAGGCGTCTTTGAACGGCGTTCGTTCGTTATATTTTTCTGGATGAAAAGAATTTGAGTTGAGAATTTTCAGAAGAGAGCGAGAGTGATTGGCGTTTGTTGGTATGCTATTTGGATACTTTTGTCGTGTCTGAAGTATTTTCGTTTTCTTGGTTTTGATTGTGTTTTGGAATGAACTGGTATGAGAAGGATGACTATGATATTTTCCCGGAGCATGACGATGCATACGAGCAGGGGGGCTATTCGATATACTCGTAGCATAGCATGCGGGTGGTATATTGCGTATACATATGCGGGTATTGCAGTGACGAACTACGGAGGAACAAGAAGTTTCTTTATGTTTTCCTTGGGAGTGTGGTAGATTGGTGGGCATTCATGGAGAGTCGTTTTGGGTGTCTGAGCGTTTTGCGTGACTTGATGCCGTGATGGAATGACGAGCTCAAGCACGCCCCCGATTAATACAACACGGATACAACACGTTTTCCAGCACGTCTGTACGACTTTACCTACCCCTACGGCCCGTCATGGCCGAGCTGCTCTACACTCCCATCACACACAACTGAGCCACCCGAATCATCGATCAGACGCATCAGAACCGAACAGCTGTTGTGGCTTTGAGCCGCGTACGTTTTTGGTTTAACCTCACGTCTTCTGCCGGGATGTTCTTCGTCTCAGCAGGCCACGACTGGCCCGACAGCTGTGCGGAGAATCAGCGCAAAGTGCTGTTACAGCCCAAAGAATTTTCTTGTGATTCCGGGGAAAAAAAAATAATTCTGTAATGTTCGTATACACGCTCTACCGCCCGCAGCAGTGTGATAGATTAATACACCAACGTTCCCATACTATTTCCATTTTGTATATTTAATCACAGCATCGATTCACAAGGAATATGAACTTGGGACATCTGTAACATGTAGTATGTCTATTTGTAAGTCGGGTTTGTCCATTGTACGCGACCTTCGGCAAAAATAATGACAACCGTAATTTGTACTACTTTAGCCGAACAGGTGAAGCAACACGTTAAACGCGCTCACGTCGACACGTCCACATTCTCTTTGTTTCCATCTGATGTTGTTGTTTTGTTCTCCATTGCCCACATTCCCTAGCTTTTTGCAGCATGCCATTCCCCCATATTCTTCGCTTCAACTTCAACAATATGCCGATCATGATACGTACGCACGTACGTCTGCTCTTCGCTGAGTGTTGTTTGTCTCCCTACATGCAGGATGATTCTTTTTTTTTTTATTGCGTCAAAAAAGCTTTTCTTAGCACACAACTCTACGACTTGTGAATGGGACAACAAGTCGTCTGCCATTGCTCCGCACAAACCTCCTCGTCAAACTTCCACGTGTATATTTGTGCCCAGGTACCGTCGGCCGTGAAATCCACACTTGCATCAACTTCATCCGGGTCATCATCCAACAACAAGGGCAAGGCAAATGCCGGCAAGCTTCCATCCAAACAAACGGTAAATAACAATTGGATATGAAGTACGACAATAGGGTATGTTAGATATACTCGCAGCAGTATCTGGTCGTGAGGATCCCAGGGGATACGTGTTGGGAATTTCGTGTGTAGTAGGGTACCACCGGTGCAGTCACGGGGATCCTTTTGGCGTGGTTGATGCGATGGAGCTTGCGTGCGTGCTGCGCACTTCTTCCCTCTCTCTCTCCACCACCACCACCGTCTCTCTCCAATCAAGTTTCCTTCTCCCACTCTCTCTCCAACTCTCTCTCAACCTCTCTCTCTCGGTCTAACACGGCCGACTACCCAGTGCCCCAAGTAACGTCCAGAACGTGCTTGCTGCACCCCGCGTAGTTTACCTTTCACACTAGTACGATATCACGGTATCTGCGCGCGGGCGTAGCCTTCCGGGGGTTGTGCAGCCACGCGCAATCGGTAGACTCCCACAACAACATACACCATGGAGGGCATCGACCTCTCCGCCCTTAGCGGGGAAGAGCTACAGCAAAAAGTGGAGGAGATCGTCCAGCAACGAGTGCAAGCCGAACTCGAAGCCAACAGGATAAACGAGGGTGAAGTCACCTACGCCCCACCACCTGCCGGCAACCCGGTCCCACCTACCGGCAGCCAGCCATCACCCTCCAGCCAGGGTAAAACACCTTCCTTCAACGACCCCAGCAGCGTCGCACACATCGTGGCGCAAGCGGCCAAGGCGACAGCTGAGGCCATCGCTGAACAACAGGGCTTTGCCCGCTCAGGCACGTTACGTGTAAATCCAGGCTCAGAAATCGAACCTTGGCTTGGTAGTGTGAAAAAGGAGCAGGATCTGTACATTATGTTTGATATTTTTCGGAGTAAGATGATTTCATATTTTCAGGAGGAGGGTGTGCACGATGCGTTGGAACTGGAGGTTGAGGTCAAGGTCGGGGGGGTGTGAATGTAGGAGACCTTCGGAGACTTTTTGGTAATGAAGTGGTAGACAAATCTTTCAAA